CTCCTGCGATGAGAAATAAACATGTTTTTTAAAAATCTCAAAGGGAAAGAAAAAAAAATGAATATATACCACAAGCGGCAAGCTGGAGTAATAAAACTTAATAAAAGTCACCAAAGACAAAGAGAAACATAGTCATTTGAGCAGCATTATTTCAGGTATAAATTGGGGAATGAACTCCTAAATATACAAGGATCCTATAAAGTTGTATGAAAAAGACAAGATGTTGTTTATTTCCTTGAATTCTCTTAGAATTATTTCAAAAGGAGAACAGCAAAGATTTACTATTTAAGTCTTCCCTTTATAAACTTTGTTTCTGTTTGTAATCCCAGGACTCAGTATGAGACCTAGCACGTGGGATGCAGTCAAAAATATTTGTTGAATAGTTGAGGAATAGGTATTAGTAAGTGACTCTTTGTACCATCAAAATCAAGATGCATCTTACAATCAATGGTATTTTACAGTCAATAGAATGTTATTTGTCCTTCACCCATTTGGCTGAGCCCACAAAAGGCAGAGAAGATGCAAATGTTTGACAAAGAAACATGTGAATTCATTAGAAAGGTGGTTTTGAGAAAATCCTGTGTGAAAATGTAGAAGCTAACATTAACAAAAGTCATTCTCATTTCTTGCCACATTAGGGAGAAGAGTACTTGGATTTTCCTATAGTTGCAAGCAGAAGACCACAAAAACCTGGGCTAGTCAGTAACATATTAATGTTGTTAAAAGTTAGATGTTAACAACAAAACCTGCATGTATAAAGACTGTTCTCAAACATGCTGAAAGCTGTCTTACTGTAGAGATTCGTAACCACAGGTAGTCTATAGATGAACTTGAGTCGGTATATAAACTTACCGTACATTTAAACAAAATTGTATGCCTGTGGACAAAAGGGCCTTTTCTCAAGACAGTTCGTAGCTTTTGTCAGATTCTCAAAGGGGACTATGACCCAAAAGAGATTAGGAACTATAGTTCATTGGTTTGTAGGCTGTATGCTTATTTACTAATCAGAATCAGGGATATAAAAAGGCA